TGCTGAATAGGTTCTTATTAACCTGTAATATTGAAGTGCATGTATGGTGGTGGTTTGTTGTTCTGTGGGCTTTGATATTAAAACTCATCCATCATCCTTATCCTAAGCGACAAATCTTTTCCATCACTTTAAAATACATGTAGGATTTGTCTTGTGTTGGCTTATTCCTCACTATTTCTCCCCTTTGAGAAATTCAAGGTATCCCATTCTAAATGATGAATTTTTGTCAGGATAGCAAACTGTACAGGTGGACCACCGATTAGATCAACGTCAAGTAGGTGGGATGGCTACGTAGTGTTAAGATCACTCTACTCTCTCTAGGAAAATCTGCATTTTGATCCGGATACTTTGGAACTGAATACTTCTTGCTGAAATTACTTTGAAAGTGTCCTGATCAATCAAATCTAAAATGTAGTCATTGTAATCAAGATTACTTAAATAAATTGTAGCCTTATGGTTATGATCACTTATTAAGGTCAACGCAGTGTTAAATAGATTCAGAATTATTTTCTTTACTTAATTTCTCAATTGATATCTTACCAATTATGTAGACATTAAATATTGTGTAACTGTGTCTGTTCTTGTTCTGTAAAATACAAGGAACAAGGACTGTTGACAATGAAGCATGAAAATGAACAGTATTACCCGAAACCCTCAGAAGTTGGCCACATTCTTGTTACGTTGCAGTGTAAAAATTCTAACTCTACCCAGGAAAGCAATGCTAGTGAGTGGGGACCTTTACCATTATCACTTATTACTTTGATACAAATTTATTGACAGCTTAAACTCTAAGGTAAGCAGACAGATATACTCATGAGCGGCAGTAAGTGAGCTGTGTTCTCCTATTAAACCTAATTTAAATTACTATTTGAGGCTTTTTTAAAAATTAGCTCCGACACTTGTCCAGAAGTACTCTAGCATCTCACACCTTCAACTGGAAGGATTTGTTCATCTTGATCAGTCGGCCAAACACCAAACGAAAAAATGAAAAGTAAAATAAGTTAACAGGCCTCAAAATTTCGAGTAGCCGAAATCTTTATTCAAACTAACTCTATCTACAAAGGCTATAAATCTCATCAAGGTCACTAAGACCTAGAGTGCATTCTACTGAGCAACATAAGTGACCATAAAGTTGAAAATCAGTTAGTGCTTGGGGAATACAGTGAACAGTTTTATCCAGTAAACTTCGTAGTTCACTTATACTCTCCTAGGAAGGCTAAGACGATTAATCTACAGTGAAACATAAGTAAACTTGGACCTGGATATGTTTACGTTTTAATCATTTGACGTGCATATATAGTCATTTTAAAGAATAATTTTATTTCATTTAGGATTCTTTTTTTCGTGCACTCTGTCATATTTGAACCCAGAAGTGGTTAAACTCCAATATCCATAGAATTGTTAGGTTGCGATATTCATCTTTTAGATCGTGAGCATCAAATGTCCTCTTCCTCAGTTTATTTTATGAACAAAACTCGTTAACACCTTTGAGTCCAAAACATTGTTGGGATGTCTATGGAATGACAAGTCTGACTTAAGAAGTAAGATTACATCAGCATAATATGAAGTAAATGTGATAGATAAATATTATAAATTAGAATTAAGAAGTCCTTTTTACTGCCTAACTCAGATGAACACTACTGTCCATGACTATACGGACTACTCACTCGCCACTGTTTACCTGTAAAGGAATAGATGAGCAAGCAGTAGAAGGGAAGTGAAATCCTAGGCTACAGAGGTTAGATAAACTTTCGATGTGATAAATGTAAGAAGACATCAAAAAAAGAACTTATTCATTAAAATAACAGATTAAATGGCTAATAAAACTGTACAAATAAATGAACTTTCACCTGCAGCTGGCGACCGTTCAACTATAACCATATTGATCAGATCAAAGAAACCAACAGATCGGTGCAGTAATATAAAGAGAATCATAGAGATAAGTTCTGTGAAGACGTCAGAGAAGGATGAAGTTTGGAAGTTCAGTTTACGGCTGAAAAATATTAACACGTACAGGCATATAAGAGACATATCTAAAGCCGTTCGCTGTAGATAACTTTACGCCACAAAATAATAAAGACTGTGTTATGTGTTGTAGATTCATCCAACCTAGCTTACATAATATATTCCTTGGTCAGGAGATATCAGTCAGTGTTCAGGATTGATTCAATACGTATCGCAAAAATCTTATAACCTCTTCCTATGATAGATTTGAATGCTTGTCACATACAATATGCCAGCTAATCCTGTTAGTCGAAATAGTGTAATAATGTAACTGTCATGCAGTGGAAAGTGAAAATCAACATCTCTATGCTAAGCTGAGCTTAAAAATATGTTTCTGAGAAAATTTTCTTGAGTTGACTTGAATGAAAAGACGGAACACTTTTATTATTTGGCATATATTATAATTAAGTTAATGACATGAAAAACAAGTCACATGCCAAAGTTTTTTTTGGACCTACCAGTTTCGCATCCATATAATGCGATCACTTCAGCCTACGTTATGAGCTGAAATGTCTGATGCTGGCATTTTTCAAACTTAGAGGGTCTCTTTCACCTTAGTTATTCTATTTTCAAACAACTTTTAGCAAATGAAAGGACCTCATCAGCTTTATCTCTATTTTAAACTAGAAGCTTCAGTATTTCCTAAATTGTCTTGCTATTTACAGATTTTACTTTTATACCATATCTCTTTAAAATACTTTCGGTCGCAGATGATTGGATATCTTTCGGATGGACACAAATACAGTGTTTTACTGAAAAAGAAGATTCTAAATTCACTAGAGAAGCAGAAACAAAGGTGGGATAAATTTTCGCATTTCGCACTATATTGCTTATTAGTGACAAGCATTAGATTCTGCTATGACAACAATACTAATTATTATTATCAAAAAATAATTATTCAGTCACAATGATGAACTAGTTTCTGAACAGTGCAAGCTGTTTCGGGTTTAATATGCCAACTAACATAGACGAATTCATCTATTCAAAGAACATCAACATTTGACTACTGTGTTTTATTTTCTAAACAATCATATGCAGAAATTATAGGGAAGAATCAGGAATTGGATGGAGAGTTTAAAAGTGGTGTCTGACTTTCAAAGTGTTTTGTACCGCAACCGATACTAAATGAGATGATGCTTACAAATAATGTCACTAACGAAAGAAAACGGAAGATGTTATTTTCGAAACTTTTCAAATACGAAAATTTAAGTTTAAGAATATCTGGAGTCAGTAGTTTCAATAAAAGACACCCAATACAGACTCACTTCAGCCGATGGCACTTGAATTTTGTCCTTTCAACACACTGAATATCTTTCTAGGCTTCTATATCACAATATATGCAAGACCAGTTATCCAGGTCAAGTAAACTGAGTTAATATTATCTAGATATAACCCTTGACTACATCAGATTACAACCAGTAATAATAAACTTGGTATATAAACAGATCCAAAATGAAAATCAGAACTTTCATAGTTTTATTCTTTACAATCAGAACACCTCCACGTCAAAACTAGTTCTGATTTCTGTTCTTCTGTAGTAAGTAAAACTATGGCTGTAACGATCAGTTTGAAATCATATTAGATGTGCAGAATTCACATACTCAGTTCTCAAACAAGCTGTTCTACTAAAGAAGGAAGTATAAATGATGAACATGAAAATGTAAACGTGAGAATCAGTAAAATACAGATGTATGTATAGAAATGGTAAATACTGTCGGACTTCACTACCTATACTTCTGAACGCACACTGCCGAAATGAAAGTTTCTTCGGAGTAATCACGAAATTGTAAGCTAAAGTAATAACTAATCGTGTACTTGTTACTGAATTCCATGCGAATCTCGTCATATTGAAATGAGAAGACGTGACGTATGCAACTAAACACATTGAATATCTGGACGAACGAATTATTACGCTTGGCAGTGGACCACTCTTGTTTAAAACTTAGTCAGTCTGTGTTACGATATGATATGAACTAATACTTTTGAGTTAGTGGTTAAGAATCAACTTGTTTACACTAACAACTGGAGGTTTTGTGCTAAACCTAGTTTATAGTGTTATATGTATTAATAAGCAGTATATTTATAGTTTGGGCAGATGATCATATTAGAATTATTGTTTCATGACTAAGTCATCCAATTCATAGAACGCAACACTCCTAAGGATTCCTGAAGGATAAAAAAACTTTATGTATTTTTCAGTTGTTCTCCATTAAAACCATTCTTTTATGAGAACAATAATGAGGCTAGGTAAATGAATCGATGCCTTTGCAACTAAAATGCTTTAAAAATTTGTTATGAAGTCTGGTATAATCTTAATTCGAAACAGATATTAGTAATTGGTCAGTAGAAAACCCTAGCTCTAGCGTTTGTGCTTGTTGACACCCATCATCAGCGTATATCCGACACCTTGGGAAGACTAGTGTCACTTCAGATATCCAAACCAACAAAATTCAGAGAAGTCACCAACAAACTATTCAAGTTACAATTTCCTCGTTCTTTTTTTCAACGTTTGATGTACTAGATTTGTAATTTATGATGCAACAATGAATAAAGCCGTACGAGGAGGTTATCGCTTTAATGAAATAACCATTTGTCGAGTGCAATAAAAGCTGAATCCCAAATAACCACGAAGATGAGAAGATCAATCACTCACAGTGAAAAAATTCAAATGTTTCTCCTAAACGTCTTTAGAAATTCACAGCTAACACCTTTCATTGATCTTAAGTGGTAGAAACTATTATGACTTTGAAAGTTTAATCCCAAACAACTTATCGACCACTTTGTTAAGTGAAGTAAATGTCCCAGGGTCAAAATGAGTTTTGAGCAGAACAAGTTGAAGGCTGTCAACTTAGTCTAATATTTCAAAGTACATAACATTAAGGTACATAGGCGAGCAAAAGTCGAGTGAAGACAGTTTAATCACTTTTTTTCAATAAAGTGCTCTTTAAGATAAACTAAATATTTAACCAAAATATATTTGACAATATTTGGTTTAGATTTACCCTTATAAACTTTGGGAAAGAAAAGCTGACAGCCTAGTTGAACAAGGTCACAGTCCAGACCCACTACCTGATCCTTCATGGACGTCAAACCACCTACTAATTCCATTCAGCCATTTATTTTACTACTTTTTCCCAATTAATGTTTCAAAAACTGGTAAATGCAAAAGTAAGTTAAATAAAAAATCAATTGAGATCACTTAAATAATGACAAAACTTTGATAATCCATTAATAAATTATGCAGTTATACGAATCTACTGTGAAATATACTCATCCTTCATTTAATAATATCCACCTTCCTACTTCATTCAAATCAACTCACCAAAGTTTATCAGCCCAACACTGAGATAATCTGATTAAGGGAAGCCATTTTGAGTGACTTGGATGGAAATATTATTTAAGTAACTTTAAGTCAAGTACGTGATCTTCCTGGGTAAAACTTTTCTCACAACCTGTTATAAATGAAAGATTCAAGCATTTTATACGGAGATGCATTAAAGAACTTATAACAACAAGATGTAAGTAGAAATTGGAATATGATGGGAGTTGTATTGATAAACGTAAGGCAATACAGTAGTTCTCATTTACTGCACTCATTGCGTATTCCTTCCTCAATTAAGAACTGTTTGATCATCTGCTTGACTGACACGAGTTGTTAAGCTTTAAATTAGCATAGTTTATGGTTGTGAGTCAGAGGTAGACACAACATAATCTAAAAAACTAGAAATAATTAGAAAATGATAACGAAAAACTGAAATAAAGACATTTTAGCTTAGTATCGGAAACATGATGAAACATGAACGATTCTTAGTCGCTGATAATTTCCAATCACAATACTAATGATCAAATGAACAGTTTTCCGCTACCTACTGAGTTAATTAGGTACAAGAGTTTCAGTACAGATAATAATAATAATCTACCACTTCACTATGTGCACCAGCTGTCCATATAACCGCTGTCCAATTTTATATCACTCATACTTTACAGGAAATAACGTCAGAATTCAAGTATTCAGGTACTCAAGAGTCGTGACATAATGTAATCATCTATCATCTATTTCCGTACCAAAACTTTAGAAGTCATCTTTTACAGCCCAATAAGATTTGAGATATATTCAGGAATTTTATAAGCAACCAGTGTATAGCAAGAGAATATTTTGTAAATAATACAAATGATATGAATTTATGCATCTCTTATTTGATGACAACCAATTTATCCATGAAGACTGATGCAGCAGCTCAGATAGACAAAGCAACCGATTTACACTCAATAGCAAAACTAGAAGTAGAATTCAGTTTGCAACTGCTGAGTTTTAAACAGAAGTAGGACATTCTCCCTCATTCACATATGACGTTCAAAGAATGTATTTCTCTGTCAATTCTGTACTCATTTAGTGTAAAAGAAATATTTTTAAACCAGAAATATAAATATAAACCTTTAAAAATAACCGTTTAAAATGACGCTATAAACGGTTTGAAAGGTGTGTGAAACCACAGATGTAGTAGTCTAATTTGACCAGTTTAGTGTGTGCCATCCTTGGCCTCAATCCATGCAGACGATCACAAACTAAACTGGGAGAATGTGGGAATCCTCCAATTGTAGGTTCCAAAGCTGCAAAAATATTTCTGGAAACATGGCACTCAAACAAGATCTCAATCAATAGATATGTGGATATAGACCTAATCTATTTAGGAAGAAAACATCCATCCATCAACCAAGGACAAATCGACTGGACAGATCAATAGCTATTCACAGTGTGATAACAACAAACAGCACAATTCCACTCCAACAAAGAATATCTAATGATGTCAATGAAGGCAATTTAAAGCCAAAGAGGTCAGGGTGTGGTAAAAATACTTCTTCCCCAACTTACAATTGGACAACATTCAAGGTCAATAAAAACACTATCTAAAAATTCGTGTAAAATTCGATCATACTTCCCCTCTTTATGAAGTTAGTGTTGAAGATGTCACTATGCGTAGTGATGAAATATTCAAGACGAAGTATCAAAGCTTAGAGAACACTAAACCACCATCATCCTTATCCTGAGCTACAAATCTTTCACATCATTTCAGTGCTAAGTTTGTTCATTATAATGTTGTTAGAATACGTGCATGAATTCTGAAAACTGCTTTTATGAATCTTCTACGAAAAAATCTGAACGATTTAATAAGCTGTTAATTAAAAATCTCTATTCTTTACATTAACCATCTCTTTAAGTCATGCATATTGATTAATCAAAGAATATATATGAAAACCTTACAACAGAGAATCTTTAATATCAAATAGCTTGAAAATTCTCTTACGGAAAGTTAAAGTGAAAAACAGTTTGGAAATTAAACATTACTTGCTTTCTGGTCTAAATAACTAGATTATAATATGTTCCATGTAGTATTGTACATCTGATTGTGGTGGACTGGATCATGCGACAAACAGTGAGGAGCAAGAAGAGGGGGATACTGTGGCTGGACCGTGGAAAAGAACCTAGAAGATTTGGATTTCGCCGATGACTTATGTCTGATGTCACACAAACTCGATGATCTACAGGCGAGAATTAACGAGTTGACAGAAGAGGCAGGGCAGCGAAGGAAGACGGGACTTCAAGTGAATATAGAGAAGACAGAGGTGATGATGATACTCAACCAACACCACCAAAAACAACAACAACAAACTCCAATCACGATCAGTGGGAAAAACTTAAAGGAAGTAGCCTCTTTCACTTTCCGAGGCAACATCGTTTCAAATACAGGCGGCATAGATGATGACGTCAAAACCAGGATAGGAAAGACAGAAAGACAGCCATTCATTAACCTGAAACCAGTGTGGAGATCTTCTACACTCAGCATAAAGTGTGAACAAGATCCGGATTTTCAGCACCGAATGTCAAGTAAGTCAGTGCTTCTATAGGATGCTTCAGAGACTTGGCACGTTACAAAAGGCATTTCCGACAAACTACAGACATTCATCAACAACTGCCTACACTGGCTCGTTACTGAAGATCAGATGGATTACCAGAAAGAATAAGTAACAAGGAACTCTGGCTGGCAACGAACCATTCAAGAACCCATCGCCCAACAAATATGCACTGGAAGGAAGTGGAGATAGATTGGATTGGGCATACACTAAGAAGACCATTCGGGGACATCACGCATCAGTGGAACCCCCATGGGAAACGACGAGTTGGTCGTCCGAGGTGAGGGCGATATGGAGGAGATGGTGTGAAGAAGAAATGAGAGCCTGTGGGCAGTCGTGGAGCTAAGTTCAAAAGATTACAGAGAAGAGAGTGGAATGAAGATGTGCTACCAAAGCCCTATGTTCCACTACGAGCATAAGGGACAAGTAATAATAATAATAATTATTATATTGTACATTCGAAACTGACTATCTCATAAAATTTCTTATTTGGAGATAACAGTGAATGACAATGAACTCTTATAGTTTTGGCTAATTGGGATTACAACTTGAAATTTATTGTATTCCCCGTGATTATGAACTTCATATGAATGTTTTCATGTATATGCGAATACAAAATTAAATCAACAAAGATAATAAAAGTGAAATACCAGGTTTAATTTTATAAATATATGCGTAGAAAACGAACCATTCTAATAAATTTTAAGATTAATACGGACAGTGTGGTAGCTCACACGATTCTAAAGGTTTATGCGGTAATCCACTTAAGAATTTGTAGATTTCAAACCAAGTTAAAGGAGAAGCACTAGTTTTACTTGTTTCTTTTGTATACACTATACAAACTGTTGAAGCTGAATGGTTACAGCTACCACTGTTTTTGGTATTGAGCGTTGAATAGCTTCTACCAAGTTGCTGGTGATATGCTGAATGAAGCAAAACTGTTGCTAAGTACTAACGTTGTGGTTTGCGTAAAACAAGGAAGCTAGTATCAAGTTAGATACACTATGGATAAGTTTAACTGTTGTGATAGTTAACTGCTTGGAAACTTTTACGTTCTCAGACAAGAATAGGGATAAAAAGATACACCAGACAACAATAATAGACTACGATATGCGAGTTACTGGCACATGAAATAACTACTTACTACTCTATGACCTACACTCACTTTTTACTTTCATTAGAACACAGTAAAGTGATAGCATTGTTTGCGGTAAACAATTAAGTCAGAGAAAATTTCATAGATCTTAAATGGTGCTCATCCATCGATTACATTTAGGCTTGAAGTCAGGTCAGTATGTAAACCTGCCCTTTTAGATGCAGAATTATCACACAGAAGTGATAGATCGCTTAAAAGATCGATTTACTACACTCCCAAATGGAACCGGTAACTGATGAATGTTTACAGTTTTGTCCCTGTAAGTAGAAAAAGGAATCTAGCTTATAAAATTAATGGCGTATACAAGGAAGATACATTGAACAGAGAAGTGAGATTTTTCAGAAAAGTGTTCGCTCACAATGAATACTTTTAGACAAATATGTGAAAAACGAGCCCGATATTCCACTCAACTTAAAAGTATGCAGAAACTATCTGTGCACTAATCTGTAATTCAAAAGCTATGCAGTTAGTCACATTTTGCAAGCTCGCTTATCAAAGCAGTTTGAAAAACATTGCTTACTATGCGCCTGCATCTTATTTTCTGCATCCCACTGCCCACTCTTCAGAGCGTCAAGGAATAGGTTTCACTGTTAAAAACATCTATACGTATATTTTAACCTACTTGCTCTATCACAGCTGAGTGTACAGGCTGTACCAACAGAACAGAACACAGACGTGCTCACGAAAACAAAAGCCAGATAAAATAGTTTTACTTTAGAAAATATTGCCCTGTGAGGCCACTCAGTACACAATTTATTCGATAGGATAATATAAGGCCAGACAAAGCTGTTCGAATGGATTTCGATAACACTTTTCTTCTATGGCAGAATCTCTTTGTCTTCAGTTTGTGAGTTAAAAGAAACCCTGTACTCTGTGTACAAAATTGCTTTGTTCAGTCTATTTCCCACCGTCGTCTTAGTTTCATAACTCTGATTCCTGACAAATGATTTCTTTTTCCATTCGACTTTCATTCCCTTTCTTACGGCACGACCTCATTTGATGAAATTTCATTCGCTTTATTGTGCATAATTTCCCTGTTCTCCCACCTCATTTAATGAAAACAACAAACACTTCTGAACCCTAGTCATTATTTTATATCTGTGCTGCAGAGTTTATCCTATTATCTTACTGGTTGCACTGCCAAAGCTATGCATTTACTCCAACTTCACAAAAGGTTTCGGCACGAATAAAGCTAGTAAGAGTTAAAATGCCTAGTACTGAGTTAAACAAACTAAACCTGCAGACAGAATGCGTTTTCTGAGACTTTAAGTTAAAATCCATGAGTGGGTAACAACATATGAGATGGATGTTTAAAGCATAGTGTTTAACTGACTGTTTGCAACAGCTCAGTATATATCTGCAGGAGGAAAAATAAGGAAAACCAAAATTCACCTACTCATGAAGAAATCTGTTACAAAACACTTTGCATTAAAAAATAGGTATTTATTTACATTGTTACCATTACTATAAATTTCCATTGTTCGGAGTATTTTGTTTCCTTCTTCTCATTTTGTAGCACCTCAGCTGTTAAATGGATCTCGAATCTCCCTTCAAATTTACAATCCTAGGTTGGAGATGGTACCAAAAGTTATACACGAACCAACTGTCTATATAACTAGACAGATTCAAGTCACAGAATTGAGTGGGAAGACTTCATACGATGCAACAGATGGAGGATATTTTGAGGGTGAACAAGTTGATGAGGAGAAAGTTGAGTAGGTGTCTCACATATGTTGTCGATAAACTGTGTAATAATTCGTTTAGCATAACATTTCACAATTCCAATTTGCTGGTTAGTATGGAATAACCACATTCTTTCAGTAGTCAAGATAAATCTACCTCTAGAGCTTTACATATAAGCAATCCTGAAGAACATATTTTTACTGAGGCATAATTGTCTGCGCTGTAATCAAACCAATCTCTTCGTCTGAGCTCTGACGGTCAAACATTCAGATGAAAAATAACCATCCAACTTTATTTTTCTTATAATCACGGTGGTTACTGAGAAAATTTTAAGTAGCTAAAAAATTATACATAATTCTAACAACGTATCTCATTTGGCATAGCGAAGCTGTAACTGTACATATCAATTCAATTTACTTCTCAGCGCTCATTTATTGTCAGTAACAACTGCTTAGAGATGATTATATTGGTGATGCTTTGGTCTAGAATCAGTAACTAAATCATGCAAGAAACCTTCAAATTTCATAAATTTTATGTAAAAACTATGTTTCAACCATTAGGTTTTGAAGTTTTACCGTCTAAGGTTACAAGCAAAGCATAACATACATGAAATGGTTGTTCCCAAATAACTAGTCTTTGCATGCAATTTAATACTATAGGATGTCATTTGCAGCTTAAATAATTCAACGGTAATTCCCATAACTGTAACACTGTGATATTATTTCCCCCAAACGTCCCACATTTATCTTACTAACCATAGCCAAAGAGCATGAAACCTAGGTCAAGGGCTTCCAGTTGATTGTCTTTAAGCATTTAACAGGGTTGAGAATATTCTTCCGTATGGCTTATTTACACTGTGAAACACTTGATGGAACCAAATTAATACTCTTTCCGGAATGAATAGTAAGATGCACAGATGTGAAAAAATATCAACTGGAAACTTCAAGTTTCTGGAATAGACCTTGGGTCCGAATTACACATAAGATTTCAGTCTGTTTAGATAATCATGGAACTTACGTCGGCGCATTGTTGATAGGTGCATTTTCTAGTCTCACAATATACAGTAAGTGTAATATTTATCTCTGAGGACTGATATCATATAGAAGATAATAGTTTGTTCATTGCGATAACTGTTTAGTGTTCTCCAAACTTTTTGGTTCAGTCTTAGATACCATATAGCCAGGCTAGGCGAATTTATCAGAATTTACCTCAAACAGACAGAAGTAATGAATTTTTAAATTGCTTAAATGTTTTTAAAAGGTGTTTACTGACCTCAGGCTTGTGAATAAGGGTGATCTATCCCTCTTTTTTATCAAAGGTTGATTCTTATAATTAATTTTATTGCTTTTGTCCTATTGTGTTGGCCTAGTGTCTGATTATTGACTTGATTGATTGATTTCCGGTTGGCTGACCCCATCTTTGTAACCCGTGTACTGGGTAAGTGTTAACATGTCTGTTGAGGGCAATTTGACTGGAGTATCATGCTTCGAAGATCTTCCTTGTTTATCGTTTCAAATAATTTACTGGATATTTAAGAAATAGATCCAGTAAGACAATAGAATAATGGAATGTGAAAAGATCAGAGATACAATCAAGACGGTAATTAGTACTTAACTGAAAGCTTTTATATCAATATTCCTAATCACCAACTTGGGATCCATTTTCTGAACTGCAAATATTCGCCAGTGGTTTGATAAAAAACAGGTCCAGTTCGAACCATTTGTTTGTAACAGCGATTTGGATAGACTACTTATCGAAGTAAACCTGGATATGGCGAGAACAATAATTTCACCAGATTAACATGGACCCATTTCGTTTTGGAGCCTGTCACCAGTTGCTTATAACCTATAATTCGTTCTCGTGTATCTTTTCACTCAATTCTTAAAAACTCAATTATACGATATAGATATTATTTCTTCGCCAAACTGATAACTTTATGACAAGTCGATTCGAATATGTGAACACGTTGAATAGTTTGATACCAAATATTTTGGGGGTTGTAAACACCTGATCAGAAAACTTAAGATAGAGGAATCTATGCTATTCTGCCAAGATTGTTATTCCTTCTCTACTTGAACTTACCAACAAACAGAAGTGTATGAAAGTAGATCTACCTGGACATATTCTTTTGTATGATTTATCTCTCATAGAAAGATCAAACTGGCTTTTCCTGGATTCTGTGTAGTCATCGCAAAGTCAAGTTATACTACCTACCTTTTCAATTTTTTTCTTTTTTGCCTAAGCACTCAAATGCGAAGTTCTCATGAAATATCTTATTCGTTTACTGAAAGTTATAGCAACAATGGTATTTTTGAATGAAGTATGTATGATCAAATTATATCTGAAATCTTTACTTCGCCTTTTCTGTTGAAGATTTTATTTTCTCCAGAACTACAAACATTCACTGACAGTCCTAAGCCTAGAAACATTGCAGTTTGGTTTCTATTTTTTAGCTCGTTAATGACGTTCCAGGATGAAAAGCCGCACAACTTTACTGCATATAAATGCTCACCAGGCTGTATTCATGACCATCCCTACACTTTTTAAGCATTCTGGTATGAAATTGTAATTTGTCTTACGATGCCTTTGAACTTGTTAATAAGTGGTAGGTTTCAAGGTGTTAGTACTATAAACCGTGGACTGTGTTCATCATTTTTACTGGAAAGTGCTTATGACATCTAAATTCGTTTAAGCTCCCATTATAAAGCAATATGATCGTTATGAAGGTCATTCTGAATTTTTTCGTCAAAATTTTATGGTCTCCTTTTGATACAGTCCTAATAACCTTCAATCAATTCATTTTGTGGCATTTTTTCAGCTTTTCTTATTGATAACTTTTTTCACTACATTTACTTATTCTGCAAATCGTTGTGCATCAGCCCTGACAATCTTTCATAGGATTTCGTGTACGCCTATTTTAAGAATCAGTCTATCCCACTAGTCTGTTGGTATGTACTATTTTCTTTCAAATTAATTTGAACTAGAAAACTACTGGTGATTGAGAATGTTAAATTGTGAATGAAAATGATCATGATCTTATCATTCTTTTTAGCTAATGAATTTTACATCACTGGTATTACAGTTGGTCGTCTCGATTCTAGGGTGAAACTACCGGAGAATGTTCAGGGGAACAAATAGGTTCAGTAGTTAACGGTTGTAGTTTATAGTGTGACAATCACGAATAAGCATCTCTAATCAACCCTAGTTTGACTGATTAGTGTTTCATGGTCAAACTAGAAGACAGTATCAGTGAACTTCGAAGCTAGGCTTTCCAAGCTTCAATGATGCCATGGTTTACCTTGATCATAATAATTTTTCAACAGAATAACTTACTCAGAGCCTCATCACTTTATCCGAGTCTTTCCGTCTGTCAACTTTTGGCCTCGGCAACTAAGTGTTAGTCAATGCGATAGCCTAGCAAACTAACACTTACATTGGGCTCTGTTGCTGTAATTGAGTGTTGCTTTTTGCTTACACTGGTCACTATATTAAGAAGCTTCAATATCAACTTTTAATTGCTGTTCTCATACCATCATTTATAGTTCAAAATTTTGTTCCATTCCTTCCAAATTTCCCGCGAAGTCTGTTGAATAGAATGTCACTAAGCTTAATTAATTTACTTCACTAGAGAAATAGAAGAACCAAGTCCACCAGCTACTCCTCTGGATGATCCATGGGTTGCTTTCAAAAAGCCTGCACAATATGAAAGACGAATGAAACCTCCATCCACATCTGAACCTTTGTGTGTTTACATAGATCAACTACGCTTCATGCCAGATAATTCTACTATCTTCAAGGTAAATTTTCTTAAACTGATTTCCATTCTAGATATATTTCGAAAACAATATTCTTCATATTTTAGACAGCTTTGCAAAACTTAGATTATGATAATTTAGATATTCAGCAAGGAAGATACACTGATTACAGAAATGCTTCTTTACAACTTTTGAGATAATGTTTCGCTCTGCTTTGGAACAACATGGCTGTCCGAGAAAAAATGTCTAAAACCACCATCCTTTTGGTAATTACCGACTGATTTAGAGATTAATCCCTTCAAGAAGCCACAGTAGATGGGACAAACCAAGCCAAGAGTGGGGACAGACATCCCTCAGAGTTACTACACAAAGTTTGTGCGATATCGAAAAATGATAGTCATCAAATGTAGACTAGTGAACTCTAACTCAGTGTCTGAATAATAACTCGCCTGCTACAAAACACTGTGGCACTAAATGTCGCTGCATGAGATGTTTCATTCAAATGCGGTTAACAAGTAATGAAATAGATGAAGACAGTTGTCCAGTGGTAGTTGCTTAAAAGTCTTTGATAACTCTGGTTTTGAATAGCATTTACTGCAATATATTATTCGTAGATGAAGTGGTGCTATATTTCCATATAATGCGCTACATTCTTCCATCTAAGTCCATTTTCTGTGGTGCTATGGTGAGAGGATTGCATATTTCAAAAGCAATGAATTCTCCTAGTTTTGTCTCTGTAGGATGCTAGGTCTACTTTAGCAGCATTTCTGAACACTTACTAACCAGTGTTCACCTTGACATATGCTGAAGTGTTAAATATCCCCTGCATTAAATCAAAAAGTTTTAAAACCGCTACCACTAAGTCATAAAGGAATTTTTCTCATAACTGCAAGACACTTACAGCCCAGGGAATCAAGCCTTGACAAGGATTGAAAAGAACACTAAAAGTAATAAGGGTTAAGTCGAAATCACTGAAAATATATACAGAGGGTTTATGTCAATTCCATCTGACCATCTGTTACATATATTACTTGTTATTTACAGCTTGAGACTAACCCTTTTGATCTGGAAGCAAAGGTTATTTATGCTTTTCTTTATGCTTTGTCTTTTTAAATAGGTTACTGGAAGACTACTTAATACAAATTACGATGAAGAACTGCTTGATATCTTAATTGTACCAGAAGAAACTTCTTCCAGCAAGAATAACAGCAGATCACCAGTATTTCCTTCAGATCGACGTTTCATTGTCAATCTGAGACAAGATAAGACACTAGCAAACAATTCTCTACTGTTTCTGAGAGTATACACGTTAACACTAAACACTCTCGAATATTGTGTTGTTGGGAATGCTTTGTTGAAGATTTTCAATGCAGATGTAAGTCTTTGTTCACCATGCGGTTGAAATAGCGTTGTACATTTAATAATAAGATCTTTTGGGTATACTAGTGGAGATTACTTGCCATGAGGCACCTTCGTAAAGCAGGAATATGTTTTTCCAAGTAAAGTGCAGTAAACTATGCCTTGGAAATAGTTATTTGAAACATCCAAAGTCTGTTGGTTTGAGATATGTTTTAAACTCTCATTACTGATATGACTGAGAATACCAGCATCAGAGTTTCAGTCGTAAACCATAGCTTCTAGGCCAAACGGAGTGCTTTAGAACTATTGTTGCACTTATGCAGCTGGCTGGCTTAGACAAGGAAAAGTACACACTCCAAATATGCCTAGTAAGAGTTTTAAATAGCCTGACACGAACGTTACGGAACCTGAGAGTTTCACAATCAAACACAGGAGAAATAATTCGTATGTGCCTCTGAGTCGCTGAATGTTTGATGCTACTTGATCTTCAGGAGTATCCCAACTGATTTAAACATATTGAAATCTATTTCTGATCTTTGAAATATTTTACCACTACAAAAATTTGAAATATAGTTTATTTTGTTACATCCTCTGATTCATTAAATTCACTGATTCCATGACAATTAATTTAATAAATTGCAAAGTTATCTATTCATTAGTCATTTAGCCAATGAAATCAGTCAGTGATTTCACTAAAACATGATCACATTTGATATTTCCACAAAAAGACACGACTGGTTATCACTCTCTCTCTTTTCACTGTTATACATGATATTCCACTGGTAGTCTTGTAAAATGCTGAGAACTTACTTTTGTCTGAGTAAGTTAGTGCATGTAATATAGTACATGTTAAAATGTTAGGAATCTAGTATTATTTCATAGATCATAAATTTTTTATTAGGAAAGAACTGTTATTTATGAGCCTTTCTTCGATAATTTCTCTATAGGGATTACTTAATATTGGTGGACATCAGCTTCGATTGAGGTGTGAATTACCAAAACCCATTTCTCAAAAAAATAATGAATATATTTATCTAGAAACAGCATTGGATAATTCACCCTACATACATTGTTCAACGATTCTTGTTCGTCTTTTACCATATACAAAGGTAAATTATTCATCAACTGGTCTTCAATTGTATACATTGCCTTGTCGACGAAATGTATGCATTTAGATTTTGTAAAGCGTTTTTATTTTCCCTCTACTTCTATAGAGAGTTTTGGAAATATTATTTTTAGAAACCAATACCAGCACCAGAATACAGACGTAGATCATATCATTCGGACGACTCCATACCTACAGAATTTGAATGGGTTGTATACCGTCAATTTCAAGCTGATGAAAATAGAAAAAAGGATATTCGTTCAGTAGTGAAGATGATTTTACGACGTGAAGGTGAATTTGATTCTTCCAAGGGTAAGCATGATTTAGTCTAAATTATTCCAGTTTTATTTTTATGAGTTATTCACACTATTTGTACTTGGGAGGGCGGTATGCTCAGTGCGAAGAAATAGAAGTATACTGATGATCAGTAGAAGTAGATCACTTATTTCAAGAATTCACTGTACCTTATATCTCAGGAAAGAATAATATTCATCGAATCGATCACTTCCTTCCCGCCAACTGGTGAATTTTTTGTGTCAATGTTAGTGACTACACTGGTGTGTGGACACATTACCTTGATAATGTAGTGTCTCCTGTACCAGTGATATGACCACTTTCAACTCCTTATAATACAATGAAGTCCTAGAACGATTTCGTTCTACTCTTAGTTGTTAACATAAAAGACTTAAATAGATGGACAGTGGCTAGCAGTGGAATCCAGGATGCACATTTCGTCCTATTTGTAACTCGTCAGCTGGATATACCTGCTTCCCAGTGAGTGATGTTGTCCCCACCATCACTACTATACATAGTTAAAAGGCAGGCAATATCGAGGCATCCGCACAGGAGCCCATATGCCGACAGAGACTGATCAATTCGGTCCAATCAACGACGGTGTAATACAAGCAATAACACTAAACCCATACCCGTCGCACGAACAGTGGCTATAGTGGCTCGGTGGTGTAGTGGATAACGCTCTGGCGTTTGAAACGACCGCTCCCGAGTCCGAGTCCCGGTGGGACATCCAGCTGACGAGTCCCAGATAGGACGAAACGCGCATACTGGATTCCACTGCTAGCCACTGCCCATCATTATTACTATACATAGTCAAATAGATTCTGTTCATAAATCTCATGTTGGGACACCTAATGTCATCAATCTGTCACCAGAATGCTGCATGCTCAATATATATCAAAGCCGTGAAATTATTTTCTCAGTGCTGCGAAATAATGACCAATATCCTACAAAGCTTTAGACACATTTCCTGTGCGTAAAAGGAGCGCTTGTTGATTCCATAAGATGGTCTTAATTTTCAATCAGCAACTACCAGATTTTTCTTATTATAAAGATAAAAATTGGGCCCTATGGTAGATTGCTATACCATTTTAGTTGGTATATAAGATGTCCCATATCATGCAGTAAAACTATTATTCACTGGATAAGTTCTCGGACACAGTTTATTGTCCATTGATACATGAATGTCACTCCATAAATTATTAGACGTCGTAAATTTATATCCGATTCCTTCTTATGTTTTGTGATAAAAGTAGTAAAGTCTCCCATTTAGCTGGGAAAAGTGCCTCATCATTCCTACTGCACATCGATTACCTGCTACAAAAATAACAGCATCCGTCTCAGAAATACAAAGAACTCTACTACGTACATCATAAAAACGGAGAGAGAATTAGAACGATGCAAAACACACCTCAAATTTGTGAAGTTACTTTAGTATGAATGCGGGCAATAAATTATTCCCGAAACATTATCCAGCAAATAGATTTTCTTTATATTTGATGAAAATAGAGAAGGCTCCGCATTGGATTGTTGATTTGAAATAGCACACAATGATACAGTATAATTAACTAGATGACATTTCGAGCAGTGTTTATTGTTCATATTCATATGAAGTTAAATCAGAGAAGGATTATTAGGGCTGGAAATTTCTATAAGGCATAAAGTTTCGTCTAATGGCTTCAAATTGTAAATGACAGTGATAGATGTAGAAAACTTTGTCTGGAATTTCTCTTTAAAATAACTCTATAGACAAATGGTAGTATTCAGTGTATAAATTTCTAGATTATAATGTGGTAGTAGGCATCATGGACTGACATCAGTTGGGGGACCAGTGAAGACCCAAGAGCACTGGACATCTGTTTCGTCCTAGTATGGGACTTCTCAGTAGTTCATACCTACGACCAGGCTAAGAATCGAACTCAGGACTTTAAGGTTTCACGGTGAACGCACTAACCATCCAGCCACTGGGTCTCAGTTCAGTGGCTCACATATTCCAACTTTTGTCAGTTCACGATATAGCCTGACTATCACCCAAGATCCTCAGTTGGTATCCACTTCCCTTATGATTGGTTAACCCATAAATCACGGCTTCTCATTAAAAGTTCGGGATTGTTATCTGGAAGCATACAGTTAATGGGCAATATACAGTAATGTATAACGAACTACGCAAGTTTCTGAGTGATAATGCTTGATTTTTTTACGCACCGTTTCGGTTTCAATTCAACACCTTGTGTGTAAGGCTATACTGAAGAAACTCACTTGAAGCATGTTTTACAATACTATTTCGTGTCTGAGAAGTGAGAAACAAGTTATGCTATGGTTTGGTTGATGCACTCTTATTTACAATATGGAATTATGTTTCGCTCTCTTAAGTGAAGCGTAGACAGGTGTCCAAGGTATTTGTGCATTTCTGCATCACCTTTCAAATTACATTTCAGATTTGAACTTAGGTAAACAGGTAAGTAAGGTAAATAAGTTCAATAAAATAATCGTTCATCATAAGACTTATCACATAAAGAAGGAAAGAATTCAGTTGATACATTAAAGAAGTGATAAAACTTGACCATACACTCGCATTTGTGTTCACGACATAAACTAGATTGAAGAAATACATGAAGGATATTTGTAAATAGAGTAGACTAGCTCCACACTCCACCGCACATTATAAAAGCATCAAACCTCGCAGCTATGAATGACAAAATTCTTAACTGACGTATAGAAGTAAAACTTAGTATGTGAACCTTATCAATTACCTATTCAATGTGTACAACAAAACATTGGCTTTTTATTAATTTACAGAAGGAATATTACTTTTCCTCACATCTTTATTCATCTTTTTATATCATAACCTTGTCACTTAGACCAAACCGACTTCTTGAATCCTGACTATCTTTGTCGTTATACCCTTGAACGACTGCTTTTGAAACGAAATAGAACAGGAAATGGTATACCCAATCAAATGTTTTCAGTCTTCCCATTTTTCTATCGCATAAATGACGGTTTCCTGTTGAACTTAAAATATGCTAAAGGACTTATGGCAAAAAGTAAGCAACAGATTTGTGTAACAACTATATTAAATGTTGTTTCTTACACTTTGAAGATTTTGTGGTGATAATACACAGAGGTCAACGCTGGAATGAAGAACGTACATTTCCTTTCGTTTATGACTCATCATCTGAACATGACTGCCTCCCAGTGAGTATTGTTCCCACTAAGACTTAAACCCATGACCGATCTCTGGAAGTGCTACAGCGTTCCTCACTAGGCCACAGATTCCCGACAACCACTACAGTAGACTAATTTCTCCTAACTGAATTAAAATTAAATTTCCTCTGGATATTTCTAGCATCGTTCTAAAGTAGTGATAAAAGCAATGAATCGTCATCCAAGCTGACTGGCACCAGCTAAGGCTATTATTCTGAGTGTGTTATCGCTAAATTGTTCACAACTCAAATTTAGGCTATTGCATAATGCAAAGATAGATAATGACTATCAGTGGAATCTAGGACTCGTCAGCTGGATGTGCCTGCCTCGCAGTGAGTGATGTTGTTCCCATGGGGATTTACTGGATAATGTACTTCCATAAAAGCTATTTCGATGACTTGACTGTGCTGACAAAATTGAACGAAGTATTTCAACCCTCTTGAATTTATATACATGAAATTTTAAAAAATGTTTATTTTTCTTATTGTAATAAAAATACAAGCATAAGGCAGCTGAAATACTACCCTGAACAAATGAAAAATGTAGGGAGTAAACTCCACGGTCATATCCGCTAATAGTTTACGTTATAATCTCAGATGATCATGACGACAGGGTAGGTTACAGATACAACTTTGTTCATAAACACTAAAACAAAATTAACCACCGTTCAACAACCTGCTTCAAAACTAATTTGCTAAAAGTGTGCAACTAATTGTCAAATCACGACCCAATGATTATAACTTAATGTCACTGGTATAAGTAGATGGAAATTATCAATGCCTGAAAGTTATTACTCTTTAAGAAATGGTAAAAATAAGAAATCCCTTACTTAGTTAATAAAATATCTGTTTGTTCCGTTTAGCTGTTGTGTGTCACTCTAGTTGATATTGTTCACAATAATGTAAAACATTCATGCTTTTGAAACGATACTTACAAGTAGACAGCAATAAAGATCTGATGTACCAGCATTAAAGTATTGGAAACAACATGTATCAGGAAATATACAGAGGTTCTGCACGATCAATGAAGCAAAAACTGCGTTCTCTAAAAACGTCTTATTGTGGAAGGCTTCTTGGAAAGCTGGGCTAAAATCTACGAAAGTAGGATTCAGTTGAAGAAGAAAAGTTTGGACAGTTTTCACTCCAACACAATATAGATGAAGTCACACTTGAAATTTTAGTGGGGATTTGTGAGTAAGAAAGAAAACTGAGTTCTCTGCATTAAATTTTCCATCAAGCTGTTTTGCTTCCGCTGGTAAAATCATCCAGGATAAAACGTTTATTGCTGAATAGTGAGGACAAAGTCAATAACCTTTCTATTTACGTGGCAAATAATTTCTAGTTCGTCTTTCCTGACTTGTTTAATAATATCTGCGTAACTGGTCAGTTTTCAAACGACTGGCTCTAGTCTTTGTCTGAGTGATTATGCGTGCAGTCCGGATATATGACTTAAGTATGATCCCGTTTATTCACTAACTGGAAGCATGAATGTCAATCAATTCTTCTAGACTTTAGTTCTAAGTTATTGTCCACTTGCGTAACATTTTGTCGATGATGAGAGATTAAGGATCCGCTGCTACTTTTGACTCGATTAGTATGTTTATACCCATGATATTAAAAGACCATAACATTATACCCTTAATTATGAGAATAATGTTGTACTTCCGTAAAAAAACTATCTCGATGAATTGACTGTGCTGACAAAACTGAACAAATTATTTCAACTCCCTTGAATTTATATGCATGAAATTTAAAAAATAATTACTTTTCTTATTGTAATGAAATTATTGTTTTCATAAGTATTCCCTATAGTTTTTGTAAAGTCTATTCTAGTTTTTTATATTCAGATAAGGTTACCGTTAACAGACATTCAAATGACCTGCTTAACATTACCATCAATACAAAGTTTTCCACATTTCGAACAACAAGGGTTTGCATGATCAGTAATTTATTGTTAATGCTTATATGTTTTAAGGTGCATTATTGAAATTTTGACTGATATGCTTTTTCGTTTAGGAGGCGATTACATTTTTGCAGTAGCAAAAATAGTCCGTGGCTCTGAAACCATATCAACACCTGTAAATAAATTCTACGGTTATGGAAGTGACGATGACTTACTATTTGATAAACTCAATGCTACATCATACATTGGGAATCCTGTTTGGAGAGACTCACCTCAGGCAAGTTTTACAGTGATACTTTTCTATATTGACCCTCAGTTAAAAACAAAAGTGGAAGTGAATTGTATTAAACCTGACGGTAAATGAAGAAGCTAAAAATCCACCAAAATAGTTCTTTTCTAGAACTGTATCATAATAGCGACACATGATATTACATATAAACCCCAACACTGTCACTGTTATAAATTATTATAAAAAACTACAACTAACGTCCATAAGTGATTCATCATATGGAGTTCGACAATGACGGTAACCTGTTAAATAAGGATGCTTCAGAAGTGTAGTACACATTCTGTTACAAAATGTATTCCAATAAGAGACTAATATCCCTAAGGTGTAACCAAAAGGTACTAGTGACACTTTATAGTGCATCACATCGATTGGAGTTGATATGAGTATTTTAATATTTACTCAACCTAGATGTATAAAAGTGCCATTATCTGAGGAGATCCCATATTTTAGGATGTTTTACGCATATTTTGGCAGAAGCTTAAATGTAACCAAAGTTTCGTTATTTATTTAGATGAATAAAGACAATATACATTGAATTAAAAAGTTGTAAACACGAAAACACAACATAAGAATAGCCACTGGTAATAACAACAATGTCGATGAAAATCACATAGCGTTGCAGCACAGTGTCTAAAATGAGTGTCTTACTAAGACTGGGAAACAAATAAAATAGAAGTCTTCAACAATAGCGAAAACTTTGAGGATTTACTCTACAATAAAAGCAATGCTGAGTAATTTCTATTGGATGCATAAACCTAATCCTTTGGCAAGCTTTAATATAAGTCATTAAACAGTGGAGAACGCCAAAGTTATTTTGCAGTGCATATTGTCAAATGAGTTTCAAAAATTGTGCTAGTCACTGATACAAGTTCTTTACATCAAACACGCCTACAAAAGCGTACCCAGATTATTAGTTAGAACCCAAATTTATTTCAAAGTATTCACTTCTGAGGAGTGACAAACTAAAAAGAAACAATTATTCTGTGTTTTATAATTCATGACTGTCTTGCCATGAATAAGTCTGCATGATAAAGGGAATTTTTTCACGTATTTACTACTTTCAAGTATCTCTTTCTTAAAACTGTTTTTCAGCTGACTAAACCGTATTATGATTCTAAAGCTCTATTAGTTGTGCAAATATTTCGAGTACCCCTTATCTTTACAATCGGTGGATCGATAAATATAGGTAAATCAGGTAATTGGTTTACTGCACAGTTAACGTCTACTAAAAAAACTAAACGGAAAATCTCAAGGTTACGTAGGATGCATCTGATTGGATGGTCATTTATACGCTTATTTGAATGGTAAGTCTTATGGGTAGTTTAGTTTCTATTCTGAATCATTACTTTAACCGTTTACTTCTCATTCCTACTAATAACTTTGATCCTTTTGGAAGAGAATGTCTTTTTTAAGCTGTTGACTGATGATTGGTAAATGACTAAACACTGCTCAGTACAGTAATTTCACAAAGTAAATAAAATGAATATAGTTGTTGACGTTACACACCACCGTTTCACGCAAGAATTCCACAAATAAATGAAACAAACTTAATAATTCCCACCTAATTTTCTTTGAATACTTCTATGTTAATGTCATAAGATATGATCTGTAAAATAACAACTTCAGTAATATGACCGCACTGCAGAAAAAATCCACCACATAAATTACATACTGGAAAACCATTTTTCTTGAAAAAACGGTTTTTGGTGGATGAATGAAAACTACATAACGAAGAAAAGATAATTTTACGCATATATAGGACCCGAAATACGATACAGAAAGACTTTTTAACGAACGGATGCAGGCGGACACCTGCATTTATTTTGTGGATGCAGTATAGAGATGAAATTACTACTGAAATAGGATTCATTTCTCTCTTATTCTTCAAGCGATGCCCTTAGCAAATTTACCTAATAAAATGGTAATGGTCAAAAATATCCATCTCGAAAGATGAAACTAATGCGAAAATAAATGCGATGATGACAAGTGACCGTTTATATTCAACACATAAGGAAAAGAAGAGTAGTCTTCAGTACAAAACAGTTTTTTCAAGGTATCTGAATACCCTTAATCAACCAGGTGGGCAATAAAGCCAAACATGGATTAAAAAGCCTGTGCTTCAATCGGTTGATAATCAGTCAGGATCCTGGTAGCACAATCTGTTAAATAACATTTGAACCCAGACTTAAAGATTCTAGCATCAAAACTCGAACTACTTATTATGGTGGTAAAGTACTGTGGAAATTAAGCTACAAGTAAGAACTTGAATTTTCTAACTGTGAACATATTTACTTGATTCCAGTTTGAGTTGAAGTATGAAATCCAGTTCCTTTCTGACTGAATATAAACCTTTCGGTATAGACCTTTGATATAAAAACACCAATATCCGACTGCGAAGCATCTGCTCCTTAGTCTTAAATACTAATATATACACCGACGTATAGTGGATCACTCAGTAGTCAATGATCCACCTCAGTAGCTATCTATTCTTAGGGTTAGTAAACACCTTCATTACTTCCTTTTTTGTTATCAAGTTAAAATTTTATTCTCAACGGTATCCTGGAAAATAAGATTTAAGAATCAACATTCAATCCTCAAGTAAAAACAGGAAATTAATTTAACTTTCCTCGTAGCGAAGACAATCTATGAAATATGTTTCTTAGAATTTTACCAGAAAACCTCGTAATATGATATTCGACAAATGACAAAGATTGCATTATCATATTCGTGGTATCAATCTCTTTACTGCGATTAGTTCAAGTCAGAATGCTTCTTTAATGAAAGTTTAGCCATGACTAATTTACTTTAACATTTTCCAAACAGGTTAGAATTTGTTGTTACGATAGATATGGACCAAATACTAAAACCAAGTGATGCTTTGGTCTTTTTGTGAGCGGTGTTAACATTTGCGACTTAGGAATGGACTAATTATCTGGTTGCAGTCTTCATCACACCTGTGAATGAGATATTTTCCACTAATTTTAAATACAGTATCACTACATAGGTTGAAACCCTTAATTTTAGGGGATTTCTGCGTAATGGAACACATGAGCTTTGCATTATCAAACCACCAATTCGCTCACGTACATTGAATAAGATTCAAGAAAGAAACGAGGAAGTAATTTTAACATGGAGAACAGATGACATTATAGTAGGTTTAACTTTTTCATCTTATGTCTATATTACGTCACAAGTTGTACCATTCCACTGTGAAATCCTTTTTAAATATGACATGTCTAATTAAACTTCGTATGCAGTTTTAATATTCGAGTATTACCCATAGAAACCTGAATATGAAGGTTTCACGCTTGTTGGTACTCACTAAAATACAGAATTCTCGAAATCAACTCTACGCTTGAGATACCCGTAGATATTTTGAAATATATATGCCCTGATTAACACGCATAAATATCACTCAGTTAACTTCTTGATGCCTATAATAACTTTTGTGATAAACAAGTAAATATGTTGTCAAACTGTATTATTCTTTGCGCTTCTGGTGATTAATCATGGTCTCGACATGCATACTACTACTACACATTAGATTGTTCTAATCAGCACTAATACTTCTGTGTTATTTGCACTTCTTTAATAAATGCTATAAACGAGGCAACAAGACTTTAAATTTTGGAATTTGATTCATTAGCTAGCCTACATTAGCATTTTTACTGATATCAAATAGGATGTTGCTGTAACCCATTCTTTTCATTACTCCAATCATATCCTGTAACTAAGATCAATTGGAAGTAATTTCCAAAGTGGATTAATATCAGCTGGATGACAGCTAAAAGGCCAGGAACACTGGAGGCTGTTTCATCCTTGTCTAAGACTCCTTAAAAGTGTGCAACCGCGATTTCGAGAGGTGCCGATCCCAGTACCATAAGGTCACATGGTGATTGCATCTTCAATCAGCCGCTGGTTTGAAATTTTCTGATACACTGATTCTCACTTAATTCACGTTATAACCCAGACATCTTCAAATGTCACTCATGGATATCAGCTCTGTGATTTAGAAGTCACTACTTTTCCATACTATTTGATGCATAACACAATGATATTTGCTTGATGACATCTCAAGGAAAAATTATTGCTCATTATCATATCAATGTAATCACACTACTTTCGACGTCCGATTTTTACAGTCTAATCATCCCATATTCTTTGTTTTATTGGTGGTAAAATTTTGCGTATCTCTGGTATAGGTGTTGCGTCACTCTTATTACATGTATCGGAAGTTGATTCGACGAACACAGGTTCCGTAATCAACATCTCCACCTAACGATGCTGCACTTAAGTACATTGGTTTTATCCTACCCTATTGTGTGGTTGTGTGTTAATGAATGCATTGCAATAGCCGAATGTTTTTCTAGTTTATTGATCTTGTTCGGGTCTGTCACTCCATATTTAGCTAAATTATTACGTCAACTGGTCAATTGTTGACAGTAGCTAGGTGTAAGAAGGGAAGAGAAAAATTTCTAAAACTGTAATAATAATAGTTGCAACCGTTTAAGGGATGAATAACTGGGAAAGTGATGTTTTTACAGATAAGCTACACAGATGGCTAAGGTAAAGAAAGAGACTGTATGAATGTTGTCTGAACACAGTAAAGCGGCTTGTCCAGGTGGATTCCGATGGCTTCAGATATGGGAATTTCGTAATAAATGTTTACTACCTGCATTTATGAACAAATTTTTACATTATATGAACGAAAATGTTACACCCCATTGTACCTACAGGTCAAATATGTACACTGTGATATCTACAATGCAGATATAGATCTATGGTCTCGAAACATATTCTTGTGTCTTTAAAAACTAAGCGAGTCAGTGGACTCGATAAACATTGGCAACAGACATCAGATCCTTCCAACTGTAAAATATGCCACTGCGTTAGGTCACAGGATTAATATTTCTATACCCTTTAGACCTATTGACAAAATGTGCTGGAGTTGTATACTAAAGTTTGTCATTACCTTAGTTATTGGTAAGTTTAGACTGCCTTTGTCTGTTCAAAAACAATTCGCTATCATAAAAAGCTTTTCTTGATAAATTCAGCTTTTAAATTAAGGTAGATTTACTATTACTTCTGTTTGGCTGATTTTCATTGTTATTTGGAACCTAAATTTGCCCGTTCTACTTAACTTCTTTTCAAATTTTCAATCTGTATGTCTTTATGAACTTTCAGATAAATACCTATGACAAGTACATCTGTTATCAGATTGATTAAAATAGGTTGCAGGAATGCAATACATGATTTAGAATAACTACGTCTTCTTAAGGGTTTGTAGAAGGACTAAATGTTTTAGCCATATGCCGGGCAAGGTCAGACAGAGTGACTGTATGCATTTATTTTGAATACATTCATCTCACTGTCTGTTATTAAACCCTATGGCTTCTGCTGTGCATAAAAGACTTAACCACGTGTTGACTGGCAGATTATTTGACACTCAGTATGTTACCAAGAAGGTGCGGGTTATTTTTATTTGGTTCTCATCATCACCAAACCAGACAGTGTTGTAGTATTACTTGGTGCAGTAACTTCCTTCCAAGCTAAGCTATGTTCCAGTGTTGGTTTTGTTGAAGACCAAATATGTAGTATTAAACGTTTGTTCAACTGACGTGTTTGCATATCATTGACCAGATCTTCAAACTGTATATTGGGAAACAGGGTTTTGCTACAATATCTGAAGCTGTGTTTCTTTTGCCCAAAGTTTTCTACAGTTTCTTGATCTCTCCATACAAACTGTTTTGGGACATATAAATGTTATCCTATGACTGAAACATTTAACCGAGTTTCTTTTATACTGTTTGAATATAAAGTTACAGAAATGAATATCCTATCCGTTTTCTTAATAAATTCCTTCATATAGAACCATCTACTCTTTTGATAAAGAGGACATCTATAAATAACACTTTATTCTCCGATTCTTCTTTGTCGCTATGGTGGGCGACATAAGTATGCTATCAAAACGCGCTTCCATAGTTTATAAGCGATTATTTGTATTTAAAAACAAACTCAATACAGTTTGGGCATTTGGCAATGCTTCAGGCAAGCTATGAATCGATATCATAAAGCAAGAGTAGAAATTCGGCACTGTGGTAGCGTAAAACTCTATAATATACAAGTTTATTTGATAAAGCATACAACATTGTACTCGAAACATCATACAGTAAATAAATATGTATTGCTATGTGTTAAATCAAGTAAGTTTATTTAGTATAGGATAAAATTATAAAGGTGTACATAAAGAAGAGATATAAGACAAATGAGTTATCACAATACGAGAAACATTCCTTCAAAGATACTCACAAAGTTATCATCACTTCATCATTATCCTTGAAAATAAAAGATAAAGAAATCATAAGTTCATCATCACTGCTTCTAAGTAGTTTGACAACGTTTCAAGCCACTTAGTCAAATGATTTCGTGCACACAATCCAAGAAATTTTGACAAAGTGATTAATGCCAACTGAAAGTAATCACTTCTCATCCAAGAATGCCAATGCTTACTGCATTTAAAATCATATGAGTTTCTTACTATCTATTTTGAGCACCCTTAGCCCGCACTTACTAAAGTTTACCGTTTACTTTCTTTTTATAATATCTTGAATATAGTTGTTTGAAATTCCTCTCATCATTACTACTTAAGTCTGACTATCCGCTGACTGATTTTCGTGATTAACCATAATCTGGATATTTTAAGAATTCTGTAAAGAGAAAAAATTCAGTCATATTCATTGAGTGAATTGACTCATTGTCTGGAGATTCAACACTACAAGATTATTTATTTATCCTTTTTTTCATCAGTACATGAAGACTTCTCAACTTCTAATTCATTTTTGAAGTGATCTGCTAGAGATTTTTTATGTGAATAACATCGTCCACAGATTACCATGAATTAAATATAATTTTGTCTATCAACTTTAACTTGAAAATATTCTTTTACTTCGGTGATGAATTAGGATGACTTTAATGCTCACTACTCTGCAAAACGTCTTTACACTAAGCTCATTTATTACAATCTGATGAATTTTCTAGGAAAAGGCAAGTCTTACAATTCAACTAAGAGATGCCCGTTTCCTCGATTTTGTTGAAGAAAAGAAATTAGAACAACAAGTGAGTTACTTTTTCAGATTTGGATTTCAAAAAAATAATAAGTCAAAACGTCCCTTACATTTATGATATGAAATAGGATTTGTGAAGTCGCTATGGATTATGTATATTTGGTCCTTGTCGGTATGATTAGTCTGACTTCTGTAGTCACCCACTATTGCATCATGAGTGACAATCTGAATAGAACAACGCACTCTTAATCTGGAAAGTTAGTTGCTCTTAGCAGAGACACGTGGATATCAACAGTCTTGCTTGTATCGACTTTCTCTCATTTCACAGTATAAAGATAGCAGTATACTACCTAACTGAAATGTCTAACAGGGTGGTCATCATAGTCAATCAACCCTCCTTAGTCTTCAGCTGAATTATTAAATTATACAGTAGTATACAAATAACTAACATCGTGGAAAAACTAATCTTGAGTGAAAATTCATACCATTTTATTTGCACAAGATAATTGACAAAACTGGTCAAAAAATCAAGTAGACACAACAGAAATCCATGAAAAGTTTTTGTTTTGTGAAGTGAATCAATTTATTACAAATATCAAGTTCATCATGACTTGACATTAGCTAGGAAACTGTTGAAAACCTGGGAACACTGCACAGTTGTCTCTTCCTGGTGTGAAACGTCTCAACAGTAGGCACACACGACCCCGTGGGGATCAAACCCAGGATCTTCAGGTTACACGGTGAACGCATTAACCACTCAGTGGTTCACAGTTTCATACTTTAACCAAATAACTTTATAGTCCAACTGCCTACCAAGGTCTTCAGTTGACATCCGCTTCACTTCCAGCTAAATGACCCTATAGGTCATAACTTTTCATTAGAACTTCGGAATATCCATCTCAAACTACGTCACTAATGAGCACTACATAGTATTATAGTTTGAGATTTCTGGAGATTTTAATTATTTGAAGGTGGTATTCATCATAGACTGACACAAATGTAGAAATACTGAAAACTTGGAAGCACTGAACGACAGGTTCATTTTAGCATTATGAATGTCTGTAATAAGCATTTATTCATTTAATACTGCTTTATGATTGAATGTGAAATGAAAATTCGGACCGCATCCGGATTCGAACCAGCGACCACTGGGTTTCCGGCTCTTTGCCCTACCAACTGATCTACGATGTCCAACTGCTGGCCAAATTTTTATTTCACTTCAATCACCATGGATTTTGTCCGACTACCATATGAATTCATGATGCGCTACTATCGCTTGGTCGTACTTACACTGGCTACCTAGTTAGAACTTCTCATACCAATCCAAATCAAACTGAATTAGAGACAGGAGCATCATATTGTTGATCATTTTGACTATCTGAGATAGTCGTGGTTTCGTCTGATTAGAATCCGGCCACGGTCCAAATTTTCATTTCATATTCAATCATCACCCAGTACCAATACTAGACTGCCAAACCACGGCTATCTCAGATAGTCAAAATGATAATTTATTCTATTTTTTATTTATTTATCTTGAAGTGATTCCAGCAGTTGGTGTGATGAAGCCGAATAGAATGTCGAAATACTAGCGGAATTAGAAAAGTTAATCATTGTTTGTAAGGGCTGGTTAAAAACATATTCAAAATAATTGTATGAGATGTTACCAACATTTAAGCAACAGGTTTATTACATATGGTGTCCGAACACATTTTCAAGAGGCCAACTGCAATCAAAGACGCTTGCAGAAATCAATACATAGCGTGATTCACCACACATTCACACATCCCCAAGATATTTTCACAAAATTCTTATCTCGAGTAGATTGCAGCCGAATATCTCTAATCTGCTTCTTCTTATGAAGTGTTTTGTCGAATCAGAAGGGAAAATCTACAAGAATGGTTTTCTATTCACACATCTGCTTCTTCTCTCCTGTCTGAATTATTTATGATATACCTAAGGATATTCATAAACTTTTACAGTTTTGTCGTAAAATATGCACAAGAAGCCCGAACAAAATAACCGATGGCAGGAACCATACAAAATTCTTCATTGTTTATCGAGATAAATATGTAGTGAATTTTTACTCTCTGTCGCTATCTATTCACAAAAAGAAACCCTATCACTAGGACCGACATTTTATTCTCTGCATATGCGGATTTCAAACCTAGCAATATAAACACAGTTTGAAAATCTTTATAATCGACTACATTATCTCACATCATTTGACGATAAGAGCTGGTTGAAAGCTAAATTGGTGGGTACTGCTCATAAATTTTGTAGAGGTAATTCTAAGTATAGGAGTTTTCAACCGTTTGAGAAGTTTCAAGCCTTAAAAGAACTGAAGCATAATACTAATATCATTATTCTCAGACCAGATAAAGGTCCAGACGATTTTGTCATGGGCAGAAGTAAACATAAAAGCAAAATGTTATCCATTCTCAAAAGTGAAAAGCAATTTATGAGAGGCTGTTCCACAGAAACTGTACGAACTTTACAGGGGAAAGCGACAGCTAATTTAGTGAAACTTTTCTCTATAAATCCCATTAGGAAACGACTATTCAGTTCAATAAAACTAGTGGAATCCAGATTTTTATACCTTTATGGACTACTCAAAAACCCACTAGTCTAATCAGTAATCCTATAAGTTCAATAATTTTAGTGTGCAGTCCTCCAACTCCCAAGCTTGCTCACTGGTTGATGGAGTCGTTAGATCCCATTAAGAAACAGTTGAGAAGTTTGCTTTGAAAGATTTTTTGGACTTAGTCGAATATCTTCATGATATAAATTTAAAAAAAGGAACTAAGTTTCCTCCTGAAGTTAATACTTTATTTACTAATGTCCCCTTCATACGGAAAATTTACATTTTTTTGCTATTGTGTCTCTACCAACAATATTCCATTCCCTTATCTTAAGAAGTTTCTTCTTTTGTGCAGCAGCAATACTAAATTTATATGTGAGGGTGAACATTTATGAAAGATCGGTGGTGTTGGAATGGGAAGTCCCTTGGATTCCTTGCTGGTAGAAATCTTTATGTCATACATCAGCAGTCTAGCTGAAAGTGTGACTGCGGAAGACCCTTTGTACAAAAGATATGTGGACGACATAGTAATGTCTGACAAGCCAGAAGATGTTATTCCGATTTTCAATCGAATGAATGAAGCTCAGAGTAATATAACCTCAACATGCGAGAGAAAGAGATGACTTCCTGGCTGCCTTTCTTAGACGCTCTCATCACTGGCTGGCAGAATGGGTCAATGAAGCAATCCATCTATAGTTTCTGTCCACTTCGGCATAAACGGACACTAGTCACCCATGATATTCCTGATTGTGGTCGACTGGACTGGATCATGCAACAAACAGTGAGAAGCGAGAAGAGAGGGATACGCTGGCTAGACCAGGAAAAAGAACCTAGGACATTTCGATTTCGCCGATGACTTATGTCTAATGTCACACAAACTCGATGATCTACAGGCGAAAACTAACAAGTTGACAGAAGAGGCAGGGCAGCGAAGGAAGACGGGACTTCAAGTGAATATAGAGAAGACAGAGGTGATGTAGATACCACACCAACAACTCCAATAACAACAACAAACTCCAATCACCATCACTGGGAGAAACCTAAAGGAAGTAACCTCCTTCACCTATCTAGGCAGCACTGTTTCAACTACAGGTGGCACAGATGAGGACGTCAAAGTCAAAATCGGAAAAGCAAGAGAGGCGTTCATTAGCCTGAAACCAGTGTGGAGATCTCCTGCACTCAGCATAAAGTGTGAACAAGATCCGGGTTTCAACACCAACCCAGTCAAGTCAGTGCTTCTATAGGATGCTTCAGAGACTTGGTGTGTTACAAAAGGCATTTCCGACAAACTACAGACATTCATCAACAACTGCCTACACTGGCTCGTTACTGAAGATCAGATGGATTGCCAGAAAGAATAAGTAACAAGGAACTCTGGCTAGCAACGAACCAACCAAGAACCTATCGCTCAACAAAAATGCACTGGAAGGAAGTGGAGACGGATTGGATTGGGCATACACTGAGAAGGCCAACTGGGGACATCACGCGTCAGACCAGGCACTCGAGTGGAACCCAGATGGAAAACGACGAGTTGGGCGTCCGAGGTGAGGGTGACATAAAGGAGATTGTGTGAGGAGGAGATGAGAGCTTGTGGGCTGTCGTGGAGGCAGGTTCAAAAGATTTCAGAGAACAGAGTGGAATGGAGACGTGCTACTGAGGCTCTATGTTCCATTAAGCACCCAAGGGACAAATAATAATAATAGTCAGGTATGTCTGCCCAACCAGATACAAAGAATATACACAAATTAAACTTTAGAGGGAACACACAGGCTCATCAAAGTATTATCAGACACCAGTAATCCCTTGAAACGTGTCATTCGTAATAGAAGTTTGGCACAAAGAAGATACATTGTTCAGTTAGTTCCGAGGAAAAATATCTGCATTAATTTACCATATATGGGTGACTCACAGAGTCTGACAACGAAACAAAGACGTAAGGCAGCCGTCAGGAGAGCATACTGTGCAGCAAAGATCAACATCACAGAGAAAACTAAATATGTGCTCCTGTAAACCCTGGCATCGATTGAACAACGGGATCACATCCAACTACGTTTATCAATTAATATGTGCATAGGATCATGCATAAATAGTGACGATGCTTCGATCTATGCAAGCACATTCTAAAATGGCTGCATCAACTAATTGAATCGAATGGTCCGATTGACTCAAGCAATAGATGTCCAACTTCATCTATACTTGAAAATATGAATGAATCTGGTCATAAGGTTGAGTTGTTTGCATCCAACTGCAACCAATTTACAAAGCTAACTCAGGACATATACTTAGGTTCGTTGCCGTTTGAGCTTTGAGGAAGTTTAGACCTCTTTTATGCATTCACAAAAAACTTATTGTTGCATTAAACCTACCTTGGTAACTCAGCTTTGATATCAAGAATGATTAATGTGATACATTATCTTTCTATCATTTGACCTCCAAAACAGTAGTTTGACCCTTAATCACGTCGATTATTTTCTCAATGCATAATTCACACAAACAAGCGTGTCCAGTAAATGTGTAATTAGACTGTAAGATATGCATTGAGCTAACAAATCACACTTTTCGGATGAACTAGGTCTTCTTACTGTTTTGTCAAAATTCGTGTTAGCTTATGTCTGCAAAAAATGCTGCTTAGGTGTCAGCAATACAATTTTCCTAATTTCTTACCGACTGAAATTGGCTAGTTAGTCATAAAACGACTAAATAGATTTATGCTTAATTTTACTAAACTGACGGATATGAAAGTAAACACTAGAAAAGTATACTTCCCTCCTACATGTTAAATGGAAAAGAAATAATTCCCTATATTCAAACAATACGAGACAGCTGTTCAAAATAAAGTCCATGGAAACCTTTTAAACAATCATTAACTGGTATGTGATCACAATCAGGGCAAGTTTGATACAATAACTAGTTATGAAAACTTTCAATCTTGTACCATGCTTTCCTAATTAAAAGTGTAAGTAACTCGATAGGATTCATTTACTAACGAGCACAGTGTGCAAACTGGAGTGTGAAACTAGCTGTTACCATTCTATCCTAATACTTAACGAAATTTACGTCTATGAATTTGACGTAACACATTAATTGTGGTTAAGCTGTCACGTTACATCAATTCTAAAGGAATGTGGAGTATTTGCTAAGTTTATTTAAAGAACAGCTTTATGTAATGGTTATTATGTTAGATGATAAAGGCAGTCTTGATAAATCCTAGATTTATCCATTGTCAAAGGAATAATATACAACTCATCACTAAGTTCAACGACCACATTTCATTGATGAGCCGCAAAAACTTGAATCACCTCAAAACCATGTCTTAGTTATTTTATTTTTGGTCAAACCAAGAGCACACACCCGGTGATGCACCATGACTGTCCAAACAGGTATGTGATGCATATATGAGTTTATATCTGGTCAAGTCATGAACAGCGCTCATGTGTCTAACGTTATTCTCATTCATCGCATAAGGTGTATTTTTACTTGTGTAATCCAGGCGTAGTATATTAGAACAAATAACAAAATAAACAAATATTTTGTATTATTCCTCAACGTTTCGATCTTGCTATGATCATTTTCAAGTGTATGAATCTGACGCTAAGTTTTCATGTTAATATTCAAGTTTTTGTACAGAAGGTGGTAACCTTTACGATCATCCAATTACATCAATGTGATCAATGTGATACGGGTGAGTGAGTAAACAAATCGGTCAGAGAGGCTTTTTTCAGTTGTGCGAGTAAGGTGGAACAAAAATAGGGCGAGAAAATTCAGTTTATCTTTGAAAAGTACAATGGGGTCGGAGTCATCAAGGGTGAGAAAGAATAGATTACTAGTTTGGAAGGATGAATATTTGAACATCATACATTATATAATAGATTAATAAAAATAGTGATGACGATAAAGGCACTTTTGATAACAGTTGAAGTATGAGTAATAACAGAATGGATTATGTAATATATACAGTGGTTCGTAGAATGTATATAACTAAGAAAGCAGAGCAAATTGATGAGAATAGTAGATCAATAAAGTGTTATGCAACAGGAATAGACAAGTTGTTAAAATACGACTATTTTTTTTGCTTGTTGATGTTCTACGTGATCCTGATAGGTACTATTAGCTGTGGAATAATGGGTCACGGGAGAATAACCATTTTCAAATTGTTCAGTCCTGAGTTCTGACCAAATTCCATGGATCATTTTGTAATGTGGCCACAAAGTTAAGAGGTTCACCATCACTGTGCACATTGCGGGTGTCAGTTGATTGAAGGCAATCGGCGAGAAGCCCTGGACCTAGGTTTTGTACTTGTTGGCACTCGTTACCAAGGCGAATCTGCAACCTCAAGGGAACTGATGTCTCCTCCGAGATCGGAATCAGCATCACCCAATGTTTTAGTCAGCGGCGCTACCAATGAGATGTTTAGGAAGCAACTGACATCTTGCAGGACTGGATTACAGGGCTTTCTGCCAATCATCTTCATTCAAATGACACTGCTGGCTATCACTGAAGTACAAATGAGTGTAAACTACGCGAACTAAGTATAAACATAGGAAGCATTGTTTCAACTACAGGCGGGACGGACGAGGACGTCAAAGTCAGAATCGGAAAAGCAAGACAGGCGTTCATTAGCCTGAAACCAGTGTGGAGATCTTCTGCACTCAGCATGCGGAACAAGATACGGATTTTCAACACCAACGTCAAGTCAGTGCTCTTGTATGGCTCAGAGACTTGGTGCGTCACGAAAGGGATTTCCAATAAACTACAGACATTCATCAACAACTGCTTACGCTCGTTGCTGAAGATCAGATGGCCAGAAAAAATAAGCAACAAGGAACTCTGGGAACGAACCAACCAAGAAGCTATCATCCAACAAATATGCAGGAAGAAGTGGAGATGGATTGGCCATGCACTGAGAAGGCCGACGGAGGACATCACGCGTCAGGCCCTCGAGTGGAATCCCCATGGGAAGCGACGAGTTGGACGTCCGAGGGTGACATGGAGGAGGTCGTGCGAGCAGGAAATGAGAGCTTCTGGGCTGTCGTGGGACCAGGTTCAAAAGATCTCAGAGAACAGAGGTCACTGGAGGCGTGCTACTGAAGCCCTATGTTCCACTAGGAACCCAAGCGACTAATAATAATAATAATAATAAATTTCATACAGGACATCTGTCTGGTATTTTGTAAACTTATCTGTGGATGTGACAATCAACACAAACTGTTTCAACAAATGAAGAAACTAAACTGGAACCAATGTTATTATAACATACCTGGATGGAAACAAGATTTAAACGGACGCATAGGCTAGGAAAGGAAGAGAACCAGTAACTTCTGTATTACGGACTCACTAACATGCCATCTGAACTAGAACCATCAAATATTCCTCTTCTTCTTATCGATCACTTTGTTTTGCAAGTTCACAAACCACATATCCGTACATAGTTATCGCTCGGATTTTTTTCACACTGAAGGTCATGTAAACAGTTTGGTGGCTAGTAAAGCAGTTGCATTAGTCTTTCATAAGACAAGATGACAAGTCAACTAAAATGAGAATCAGACCAAACAACAAGTAGACTACTTGATTCGCATAACTACTGCCTAAGTGAAGGTAAGCCAAAATCTTAAGGTTAGATAGTGGCTTGCATTGTAAGTTTTGTCCTTTTTGGGACTTGTCAGCCAGATATACCTGTGTCACATTTGGTGACCATATTTCTACTGTGCAAATGAGATACGCATAGCTGGTATTCAGATGAAAACTACGGTTGCATTGAAACAATACCCATGCATAAGTTATATATATTTGGATAAATGTCACAGTGTTTTAAATTAAAAAATTCAACGTTTCGCAAAGAAATTTGGTTCAAGGAAACATTGCTAGACAAAAATATCCGTAAAGTCGTTTCGTAAATAGTCCACTATACTAATTACGTCTTACACATATGAATACAACAATTTGTTATCTTTCATGCATTTGTATGTTTTTACACCTTCATTTAGCCCAATTACGATCAACCGCAAAGTGATCAGCTTGATAAAACAAACGAATCTATTGATCTCAATGAACAAATGAAAAAGTTAGACGACATAAATTTACATGCAATGGTAAAGTATAGAGCGGAAAATGATGTGAATTGGCTGGAGAAAGACAAAGATGGAGCCGATCAACTTTTGACAGAGATCCATGAGTTACTTAAAACTGAAGTGGTAAGTGAAAAATGCAAGATCCTAAGTCTATAAAATGCATAATAATTAACAGCAAGAGGTAGAACTGTACAGAACAAGGGATAACCAACAGCTTAAACCCATTCCTACTAATGGTTGCTGCAAAATCTACTATCCATGAAGAATGTTTGCAATACAACACTCTAACTTGGATTTATCTGGAAGTTTACCAAGAGAGTTATAGGTTTTGTAGTTGAAACGTCTGTTTAGTAAGCCACATGCTTGGGAAACTGAGTCCTAAGTGTGTATATTTTTGGTGAACTAGGAACAGCAAGAAAATAGGACTGTTATTTCACTTACTTAGGTTGTTTACAGCTGCTCATAACTTGGAATATTCTAAGGGTACACCAGAAAAAAACTTAGTTGGTTCTGCCAACAAGAAGTCAGTTGATGGAGAAGTTCAACATGTAGCGGTATAATAAGACTGGAAGCTATAGGAATGCAACTGGAGTCAACAAGGTGTATTAAGAGCTTACATTTATTATCTACGATATTCAGTTGGAAAATATCAATTTAATGGAAACTGACAGGAACGGTAAAGAGAGTAACGTAGATTCAGTAAAAAAGAAAATAATGATTTGTTGTGTTGATACTGGCGCTGGATATCCCCTAGTATTGGGATTAAGGATACGCATTTCTTCGTATTTAGGACTCGTCAACTAGATGTACCCGCCTCTCAGTAAGTGGCGTTATTTCCAAGGAGACTGAGACTTTGAGACCACCACTACCTGCGCCTGATTGTCATCTACTGAATCAGTGGGTCATAATTCCCACCCACTTTGCAATGGATGTGGTTTTGATGTTACGGCTTGTAACTCTTCGTCGTTTGGTTGGATAGATCTGATAGGGAAATAACAAGCTTTGACACTGTGTTGAATTTCAGCGGTAATCTAATGGTAAATCATTAAAAGTTGTAACCAGCTAAAGAGGGTTTGACGAAATAAGAGAGTAAAATAAATTGCTGTCATGTCATTCGACTCAAATGTTTGTTCTTCCCCGTCTCAGGTTGATTAAGGAAAACATACTGACGAATTAGTTGTGAAGCAGTAATAATAATTAGATTTTCAAATACAAGTAGTAATTTTGTATCACTTTTTTCAGCGGTTTTATTATTTTACTTACAACGGTAATTGATCAGCGGGTAACCACATGATTTATGAGGTCACTTCGGGTGTAAGTCATTTCAAATTAAGTTTTCGCCAAGTGCAACAGACCAATTTCAAAACAGCCTTTTTATTCTACATGAGAAGAAGAAAGCCAGGAAAGTCGCTGATGGGAAATGTAATGTCAATAAGGACCACTGGTGAGATTGATTTAGACCGATCGGAATCAAGAATATGAAGGATAACATGACTAATAAAGAAAATTACCCACGATTTATCAATCTATTTTACCTGAGAAATAAAGACATCTAGATTTCAAATATGTTTATCATCTTTGCAACCATACCATTGTCTGCATTGCCAGTAATCCATACGAGATAATACCGTTTAAATGGTTGATAGATAGTCGGATATCTCGCCAGTCGGCACCACAGGTGACGGAAGTTGGCAAATTCCGAACGGGCCTTCTCTATCCGATCTGAGATTTCGTCAAAAACCAGCTGATGCAACTCCTCAGGAAATTGAAGTGGTCGATACATTCCACCACTCCACTCCCTATCGTTAAACTGGGTGTACTTGCAGCAGACCAGTCCTGGAGCAACATCTTACATTCGATAGGTGCCAGTGAAACGTATGCTGAAGATACTCAGATTTCTGCTCAACGCATCCAGAAGACCCCGCATTTTGTCAGCGTCTTCACCTAGTAGGGCAATATCGTCTGCATACTCCATGCCAACCAGATAACCTCTAGGGAATAGATCAACCTCTCTGAAGTCAAACGTACCTGAGGTTATTTCCACTAGAGGATCTATGCGTAAACGTATCCTGACCAACAATGGACTGAATGGTTTGGATAAACGCGGACACCGAGTTAGTATGATTCATCGTATAAGGTATATTTTTACTTGTATAATCCTGTTATGATATGGATGATATGGTAAGCCTCTGTATCAAAACGTGAATAGTAACCTGTAAACTTAACGTCACACTCATAGTCTTGTAAAGGATCTTCCTAGGAAGATCAAAATGTTGAAGAATAATACAAAATATTTTTTGTTTATTTGTTCTAATATACTAATACACACAAGTAAAAATACGATGATCCAAGTGTATTTATGTAAGAAGTGCTTATTGTTTGGCATTACAAGTAAACTGTTGACTGGTGTAAGCTCACTATTCTATGTCCATCTATTTACTAAGTCTGTGCAAAAAAATGTCAATACAGTTGTTAAAGCCACAATCTGAATTATATGATTAAGATTTCAAAGAAAAACAAGTGGTTTAATTAGGAATTCGCTTCTTGACAATTTTATTCTTTGAACAGTACAATCGCAACCATTTCCCATGGTGATCCCATTAGAGGTTTTAACAACTTTCGAAGGCGACTCCATACATTTTCGAAGTCGTTTGTGCGCACTCCAGTTGTTCGGCAAATGAAGTGCTTCTAGTGAGCAATAGAGTCATATATGGCTTCCAAGCATCGGTGTACATTGTGTTACCCAATGCCACACATTTTTGCGTAACTCCTTGGATAGATTTTTCTGATCTATGCTTTATGAACTGAAAATGTCCTTTCTTTGTATTTTGGTAGCAAATATAAAAAATCTGAGGTTTACCAAGACATATGTGCGAATACGTACCGTAGATAAGTTATAACCTACTAAATCTTGTTTAAGTTACCTTCCTAGGCTATATTTAAGTTTCTAGAGGAGATGTTTATCTATTTCAACCACACTACCTACACTACCGTATTGTGCATATAAGCTGCAGCGTAGGCTTCGTCATAAATCATGGGTTTATGAGGCATCGATAACACGGTAAACGGACATAACGAATGCCTTGAATAATTCATCTTTGACCTGATTGGCTGTCCTCAAGGTACCCCGTCACTAAAGTTTAGTTATACCCAATTTATTATTGACAAACAAGTTACCACATATAAACTAGCAGTAAAAATATTCAGTATCAGTTTCTGTTGATCGGTGATCATGGTTAGGGAAAATGACTGGTGCTTTAGGTCCATGGGGAACAGGGGTAGGTATGTAAGATAAATATTTTCTCTACTGTCTCACTTGCGTGAAGAATAAATATTTTCTGTTTGCATAAACCAATGTAGATGTTGCCTTTTGTTAAACCTTGGTATGACGCTTTGTTTGTTATCTGGTTTGAAGTATCATGAAGTCCACTCAAAGTGATTTAGTTCAGTGAGGCGAACTGTTTCTTCAATAAAAAAATCAAAAGCAAAACATTTCTCTCTGAATTTATCATACTACAAAAATAGAGATTCCGTTGTTTATTAATATCTTACTTTTCCTGTTTTGTGCATTTTAACAGGCGAATTGTTCGTCGAAGCAGGAATATATGCCATTATTTACATCAAGGTTATAAACACTCAAATAAACATGAATATTTGTCAATGAATTATTTATAGGAGTACCAAGACCTGTAAAAAAAAAAGTCACAGATACATTGTTTTGTGCATGAAGTACACTGACTACGTTGTAAGAAATTATTCATGTTACGGTGCTTTAAGCATCGACGGAACATAGTACAGAGGACTGGAAACACTAATAATAATAATACAGTTTCAAGAAATTTTCACTTTCGCATACTTTCATTTTCCAAAGCTACAGGTCTACAGGTCTTATTTATCTTGTCCAACCTTCAAGATAACCTCGCCTGGTTAACTAGTTTACTAGTTACTAGCCGGTCCTAAGCCCGGGTAAAGAGGGAAGGTTGGGCATAGGGCTAGCAACCCTACCCCGTAAAACAAATCTAACCGCTAAAGAAACTTCAAAGCACAAACAAAATATAAAAAATGAAAACAAACTTATTCCCCGCTGGAATCGGAGAGGCGAAATGACGCCAGTTGGTGAAAGCCTTCGGGAAGCCAATTGGCCGATGTGTCTTCTCTCGATGAAAGCGAAAGTAAACGTGGGGACATGGAATGTCCGCACGATGTTTGAACCCAGTAAGGCAGCCCAGATTGCAAGGGAGATGAGAAGGTATAACATCGAAGTGCTTGGGATTTGCGAAAGCAGATGGAATGGGAGTGGACTCTCCAAACTGTCAACTGGAGAATCAATAATCTACTCCGGTCACCCAGACGCCAACCACGAGCACACTGAGTTTTGGAGTGGCTATCATGATGTCCTCAAGAGCATCGAAGGCTCTCATGCAGTGGGAACCAATCTCCTCCAGGATCATGACAGCAAGATTCAACTCAAAAGGAAGGAAGGTCACAATCATACAATGTTATGCACCTACAAATAATGCAGAGCAAGAGAAAAAGGAGGATTCTACAGACAACTTCAATCAACACTGGACAAGACGTCAGTTGGCGATATCAAAATTCTAATGGGCGACATGAATGCCAAACTGGGAGGGGACAACACGGGAAGAGAACTAACCATGGGTCGAGAGGCACTAGGTGAAATGAATGAGAATGGAGAATTGTTTGCAGAATTCTGTGCATTCAACGATTTGGTGATTGGAGGCAGTGTGTTCAGGCACAAAGATATCCACAAAGCGACATGGATTTCACCAGATGGACACACTAAAAATCAAATCGACTTTATCTCAATCTCGAGAAAATGGAGACGCAGTCTACTTAACACAAGGTCAAGAAGAGGAGCAGATGTAGGTTCAGACCACTCAACGTCTAGTGCAAGGAACCTTCCAAATCAAGTTGAAAGCCTTCAAGGAAGCTGGTGATAGACCTCAACCCAAGTACAACACTCGGAAACTGAAGGATGAAACTACAAAGGAGATCTTCAAGGCAGCCATCAAGACAAAATGGGAGACATCGAGCAACATCCCTGAAGAAACCTGTGTGGAAGAACACTGGAAGTCTTTGAAAGCTATGTGGAAAGAAACCTGCACAACAGTATTAGGAAGGAAGAAGAAAGAAGA